GGCACATTATTAGCAGGGAGCTGGATCAGAAGTGGAGCAGCCAGGACTCAAACGGGAATCTATATGGGATGCTGGCACTGCAGGCAGAAACTGTATCTGCTAAGCCACAGTGCCGGCACCCCTATTTCTACATAAGTTTTCAACAAGCAGAAACTGCCAAATGGTGTAAGACCTGAAAAAATGGAAAATTTTTAATGTGCAACAAAATTAAATGTACATGTGACCTATAGGTATCCAACCTTAAATGCTTACACTGGGCCGGCGCCGCGGCTAACTAGGCTAATCCTCCGCCTTGTGGCGCCGGCACACCGGGTTCTAGTCCCGGTCGCCCCTCTTCCAGGCCAGCTCTCTGCTGTGGCCAGGGAGTGCAGAGGAGGATGGCCCAAGTCCTTGGGCCCTGCACCCCATGGGAGACTAGGATAAGTACCTGGCTCCTGCCATCGGATCAGCGCAGTGCGCCGGCCGCAGCGCACCGGCCGCGGCGGCCATTGGAGGGTGAACCAACGGCAAAGGAAGACCTTTCTCTCTGTCTCTCTCTCTCACTGTCCACTCTGCCTGTCAAAAAAAAAAAAAAAATGCTTACACTGAAAACGCACCTCTATGGGACCAGCGCTGTGGCACAGTGGGTTAAAGCTGCAGCCTGCAGTGCCGGCTTCCTATATGGTTGTTAGTTTGAGTCCCGGCTGCTCCACTTCTAATCCAGCTCCCTGCTAAAGTGCCTGGGAAAGCAGTGGAAGATGGCCCAAGTCCTTGGACCCTTGCATCCATGTGGGAGACCCAGAAGAAGCTCCAGGCTCCTGGCTTCAAACTGGCTCAGCTCCAGCCGTTGTGGCCATTTAGGGAGTGAACCAGCAGATGGAAGACCTCTCTCTCTGTCTCTACCTCTCTCTGTAACTCTCTTTCAAATAAATAAAATAAATCTTTTAAAAATTAAAAAAAAAGAAAAGGCTCCTCCACAAATACAAACAAATAAACAAGGTTATTTACAGATTCATGGATGCTCAGATAGAGTAGAAAGGTGGCTGGGGAACAAGATGTTCTGAATATCCAATATATCCAATATGCCAAAATATCAGTAAATTACTCTCTTATTCAAAAGGGAAAGTCCTTCTAAAAAACAGAACACTGTGAGCACCATTGCCTGAAGAAAATATCAAACACAGCATCACTAACAAAGGGATGACACAAATCTGTCTTCCTAATGGAATGCAGTTGCGAATACATATCACCTCCAGTATACTTTGCAAATCATCTCTCAAAGTCTCCACACTAGATGCTGGAAAAGGAAGCTCACAGGCCTGCTTTTTCATAAAAATGGATTTAAGGGCTGGCGCTGTGGCCCAACAATCCTGTTCATGATAGATTGCACGATGCTTGTACAAGCCTCCATTCTTTCTACCCGGAGCCCCGGTTTCTAAGCTCAGTGGGCAGACAGACCTGGGGACCTCGGGGGAAGGAAACAGCTGAGCACTGGGACAGCACAAACTTCCACAGTCACAGCCACACAGGCACACCCTAGCCACCCCTGAAACGCGCGCTCGAAACAACACGAGTCAACACCCCGGGGCCGAATTCTCACACGGAACGTCCGCTCCTGTCACTCTCGGAAGAGGACACTTGCGGCGCTCACCGGGTCACCGTGCAGGCAGGAGGACGCCAGGGCCGGCGTCAGAGGCCGGGAGAAAAGCGCACAGAGGTTCTCTGGAGGCTTCGGAAGAGGGGAGCAGCGTGGACGCCAGCCTCCCGACCCGGCTCCCCGGACCGCGGGGCGCCGGCGACGGCCCGGGACGCCCGCGTCCCTCAGCAGCCCCCGCCTCGGCCGCCAAGCCACGCCCCCACCAGGCCACGCCCCCACGAGCCCCGCCCCCCTGCCCTGCTGGGAGAGCCACAACCACCTCGGGGCGCCGATCCCTGAGCGGGGCGGCAGGAGGCGGGGCAGGCGACGTCACTTCCCCTCACAGCCAGGGGTGGGCGGGGCCCAGCTCTGAGGGGCGGGCTCAGCCCTGGGGTCCGACCGCAGGTGCCTGGGACCCTTTCAAGTAGGGAAATTCCAGTGACCTCGCCGGCGGATGCGGTGGGCCCTGGGGTGGGCTCAGAGCGCTGACGGACTAAGGCCGAAAGAGGCCCTGAGGCCAAAGCTGAGTTAGAACCTGACTTGTAAAGGCGGAGCCCACCTGTGGGGGCGGGGCTAGGTGTGCTACCAATCCGATCAAATGGACCAGCAGGGCAGATCTGAGATTAGGCAACTTTTGTTTTGTTGTTTTTAGTATTTACTTATCTGGAAGGCGGAGCGACAGAGAGAAATCTCTCTTCTGGTTCACTCCCCAGATGCCTGTAAGTTCCAGGGCTGGGCCACCCTGAAGTCAGGAGCCTGGGACTGCATCTGGGTCTCCTACGTCGGGGGTGCCTGGTGACTTAGGCCAGGTTGCAGGTGGAGAAGGAATTCACCGAGCAGTCAGCGTGAACAGAGGTGTTTTTGGTTTTTAAAATTTATTTATTATTTATTTGAAAGGCAGGGTTAGAGAGAGAGGAAAAGACAGAGAGAGAGAAAGGTCTTCCATCCACTGGTTCACTTCCCAAATGGCCGCAAGGACAGGAGCTGGGTCCATCCAAAGCCAGGAGCCAGGAGCCAGGAGCTTCTTCTGGATCTCCTATATGGGTGCAGGGGCCCAAGCACTTGGGCCATCTTCTACTGCTTTCCCAGGCCATTAGCAAGGAGCTGGATTGGAAGTGGTGCAGCCAGAACACGAACCAGGGCCCTGTCACAGGTGGCAGCTTAACCCCTTGTGCCACAACAGCGGCCCCAGAGTTAGGTTTATTAAATACACTGCAAAGGAGACCATGGCAAGCAGGACAACCAGAGGCTGATTGCTGCTGCAACACAGACTGTAAACCGAGGTGTATACTTGTAATTGCAGCATCTTCTTAGGATGAGTTTTCCCATGACCCACGAAGTACCTCCCCCTTTCATGATTTTGCATTTCTGGGTGGAGCTGAGGAGCCTGCACTGCCCTTAGCTTAGGGATTCTGCCAAGTACCCCCAGGTGACCCTCCACAGGTGGCAGGGGCCTAAGTACCTGGAAGCTGAATCGGAAGTGGAGTAGCTGGGACTTGAACTGGCACTCCAATATTGGATGTGGGCTACTCAAGAAATGGCTTAACCCAATACCCAAACAACACTCCTCCCACGTTTTCTTTCTTTCAAATAAAATCTTTAGAATGGCTTCTATTTATAAGTAGCTATAAAAAGTTTTTTACTTGTTCTCTTTGGATGTGAACTTGACCAGTTCCGGTGGTCCCAAGTGGCTGCTGTTAACAGCAGTGACCTTTAGGGGTAGACACTGTGGCCTGCAGCACCGGCATCCTGTATGGATACCAGTTCGAGTCCCGGTTGCTCCACTTCCAATCCTGTACCCTGCTAATGCAGCAGAGCCTGGCCCAAGTACTTGGGTCCCTGCCACCCATGTGGGAGACCAGGATGCAGTTCCTGGCTCCTGGCTTTGGCCTGGCCCAGCCCCAGCTCTTGCAGCCACAGACCTCATTAGGGTCAGGTGGCAAAAGGCTGTGGCAGCAAAGGCAGCAACTCTGAAATCCCAGACCCTGTCAGCATCATTACCCATGAGCAGCTGTGGTCTCCTGGGAGGGGGTGCCCCTCACCATCAAATCCAGCTTCACTCTTAACCCATTTCCTGCAAGTGTGCACCCTGGTACGTAGCAGGTAATGGCTCAGGTAGTTGAGTTTTGCCCACACACAGGAGACCTGGACTGAGTTCCTGGCTCTGAGCTGCTGCCTTGCTAGCTCTGGCAGTTGTGGACATCTGAGGAGTGAACCATGAGATAGGGGCTCTTCCCCACCACCTACTCTGCCCCCTCCCAGTAAATAATTTAAAAGAAAAAAAAAAAAACATAAACTCTTTTGACTACAAAAAAAATTGTACACCAAAAGTAGAAAACAGAAAAAGCTGCATTAGAAAGTTGATAATGGGGCCCAGCGCTGTGGCACACAGGGTTAAAATGATGCCTCTGACGCTGGTATCCCTTATGGAACCCAGATCGAGTCCCGGCTGCTTCACTTCCGATGCAGCTCCCTGCTAATGCACCTGGGAAAGCAGCGGAGGATGACCCAAGTGCTTGGGCCCCTGCCATCCACATGGGAGACCCCGATGAAGCTCCTGGCTTTGGCTCAGTCCAGCTCCAGCCATTGGGGCCATTTGGAGAGTGAACCAGAGAATGGAAGATCTCTCTATCTCTCCCTCCTCTCTGTAACTTTGCCTTTCAAATAAGTAAAATACAACTTTAAGAAGAAAGTTTATAATGTACTTATTAGGTCCTGATAAAATGTGCTATTAAGAATTTAAATAAAAATTTACTTCTCATTACCAGCCACTGAAAACTACAACAAACATGACTACTAGAGAAACTCTTTAATCATTCCTAAGAATGCCAACCAGCAGTGGAATTTAAAAAATATATATTTATTTGAAAAAAATACCTCTAGAGAGAGGTAGAGAGAGAGGTCTTCCATCCCCTGGCTCACTCCCCAGATGGCTACAAGGGCTGGAGCTATGCTGATCGGAAGCCAGGAGCCAGGAGTTTCTTCCAAGTCTCCCACGCAGGTGCAGGGGCCCAAGGACTTGGGCCATCTTCCACTGCTTTCCCAGGCCACAGCAGAGAGCTGGACAGGAAGTGGAGCAGCTGGGACTCGACCCGGCGCCCAATAGGCCACAGCACCAGCCGGCAGCGATATTTTACAACATTGGGTGGCAGGCCCTGGATCATTGGAGATTCCCACAAAACCCAGAAATAGTTGGGTTAAAAAAAAATTCATGAGCTACAAAAAATACCAACACCCTGAAAACGCACAGGAATCCACGGTTAGAATTTAGCGTTCTATCCCGAGAGATAAATACGTGAAATAGAGGTCTACAAACAAGGCTGAAAGGGAGGAGGTGACCTGCCATTTATTTCATAGCTCGGCCTGCCCTTTTCCGTGGGACATTCTTGTCAAGGGCGCCGGGCACGCGAGCGGAGGAAAGCACCCAGCGTGCGGCGAGTCCCCACCCACAGCCTTCGGGGTTCAGGGACAGGCGCCGTCCACTTCAACCGCGCCGAGCCCCCTCAGGGACCCCCAGCGCTCGGAGCCCAGGGCAACCGGAAGCTCCGCGGAGCCCCGCCCCCGCCGCCCGGAAGCGGAAGTGGCGTCACAATCCGGCCGCGTCCCCCGTCCCGGGTTCGGGAAATCTCCAAAGCTGCTGCGTTTTCGTTCCTCCTCGGGTTGGTTCCTTCTTGGAGTCGCTCGCGTGAAGGGGAGGCCCTGAGTGTGGAAGGAAGGCGACGAAGGACGCGGGTGGCTTCCTCAGGGAGGCCCGGGCCTTCCGGAGCCGCGAGTCCCCCCGGGGCGGCGGGGCCCGAGCGGCCGCTCCGCGCGTGGGTGCCCCGGACGGGCCCGGGCCGGAAGCGTCGCGACAGCGCGGCCTGGGGACGTTTCCGTCCTCTGAGGTCGGGCCTTGGGAAATCTCCGGGGACCGCCCGTGCCCCGCGCTCCAGGAGGGATCCGGGATCCGGCGCGTTCCGGTGAGCTCCGAGCGAGAGTGGGTTCGCAGCGGGCCTCCCCGTGCTCGTAGTCGAGAAACGGAAGGTCGGCGTGGCGGCACGTCACGCTGAAGCAGGAGGATGAAGACGCTTTCGGAGACGCCCGGTAGAGAGGTGTCTCGATGGGAGGGTTACACGCTCGTGGGCGACAGCTCGTCCTGCGGAAGGGAAGGTCGAACGCTCGATGTGCCTCGGCCCGGGCGTCTCTCAGAGCTGACGGTCCGGGGCCGCCTCACTAACGCGAGGCTTGAAACAAGTCGAATTGACTGTTAACAGAGTGATAGTCTATCTTTTTCCCCACGTTCTTTCAAAAAAATTTAAATCTACCTAGGACAATGAATGCCCATTGTAATAGATTCCTCTGTGTTCAGCATGTGCCATGTTTTTTCTCTCTTCAGATAAGCAAACATATTTTATGGTTAAAATTATATGAGAGTGCATTGAAAATAAATTAGACATGATGCCTCCACGTTAGCTGTAGGTGTGATGTCTCCGTTGTTAGATATTTGCTAATGCTTCTCAAAGGTGAAAGACACTGGACTATTTCAATCAAGAAAGTGAAAGACTGTCACGTAATATCAACCCTTTTTAGTAGAAGCCAGAATTCTCCACATTGTTCCAAATTTGGCTTTTGTGTGGTTAAGGACATTTGGATAGTGAACCTGAGGATGGAAGATCTGTCCCTCCCTTCTGACACTCTGCAGTTGAAATAAGTAATTAAATCTTTTTAAGAAAAAAAGAATGTTAAAAAAAATGAAACTTTATTATATAAACCTAATAAAGGTATGATTTTCTGTTTGTTTTAAAAAACATTCTTTTTTGCATTTTTTTTAAAAAACTTATTTATTTGAAATGCAGAGAGACAGAGAAAGGCATCTTCCATCTGCTTGTTCACTCCCCAGATGATTGCAATGGCCCAGACTGGGCCAGGCTGAAACCAGGACCCCAGGCTTATGTTGGTCTCCTACATAGGTGGCAAAGGCCCAAGTATTTGAGCCATTTTCTGCTGCTTTCCCCAGGTACATAAGCAGAGAGCTGCATCAGAAGCAGATCAGGGGCAGGCTCTGTGGTGTAGTGGGTAAAGCCGCCGCCTGCAGTGCCGGCATCCTATATGGGCACTGGTTTGAGTCCTGGCTGCTCCACTTCCGATCCAGCTCTCTGCTATGGCCTGGGAAAGCAGTAGAAGATGGCCCAAGTCCTTGGGCCCCTGCACCCACGTGGGAGACCCAGCAGAGGCTCCTGGCTCCTGGCTTCGGATCAGTACAGGCTGTGGCTGTTGCAGCCATCTGGGGATTGAACCAATGGATGGAAGACCTCTCTCTCTTTCTCTCTGCCTCTGCCTCTGCAACTCTGCCTTTCAAATAAGTAAATAAATCTTTAAAAAAGAAAGAAAGAAAAAAGCAGATTAGCCAGTTCTCAGTGTGCTGATATGTGATTCTAGCATTGCAGGCAGTGGCTTAATCCGCTGAGCTATTATGCCAGCCCCATGACTTTCTATTTAATAATTTCATTTTGCCTGTGCTTAAAACTGGAAGAAAAAATGATTAAATCTGTAAATTACCCCTGCCCCCCACTGTGGTGGATTACTACAGTCTTAATGCTGTGGTTCCATCTGTTAGTCTCCATACACAATATCTAGTATTATTGAAGTACAGATTCCAATTAATAATCTAAAAATATTTGACTTTGACTCCTATAGGTTTGGCTAATATGTTCTCTTCAGCTCCTATTTCAGTGAACTTTCAGATGCATTTTGTTTTCACCTCCAAGGAGACACAATATACCTTTTCCAGAGTACCATGGGATACCTCTCCATCTTTGTTGTCACATATAATATTACAGACAAGATCTTAATTTACCCACCTTTCTCTAGGGATAGAGGTATAACATTACATTACATTGCAAAGACTTTTTTAAAAATTATTTTTAAGGTTTATTTATTTAAAAAGCAGAGAGAAAGGGAGAAACAGAGAAATATTCCATATGCTGGTTCACCCCCCAAATGCCCACAAGCGCCATCTTGTTTTGCTCTTTTTCAGAGATTCTGTTTTAGGTGCTCCCTGCACAGAAATATATTTCAGTGGTGTAGGCCTGAGCACCCACCTCCTAGCTCATGTTACAGACTTAGAAGTGGACCAGAGTTGCAGCACTGTGGCGTTGGTTCATGTCCCAGCTGCTCCTCTTCTGATCCAGTTCTCTGCTTATGGCCTGGGAAGGCAGTGGAAGATGGCCCAAGTGCTTGGGCTCCTGCCACCCACATGGGAGACCCAGATGGAGCTCCTGGCTCCTGGCTTCACAGCGGCCCAGGTCTGACTGTTGCAGCCATTTGGGGAGTGAACCATCAGATAAACCTCTCTCTCTGTCTCTCCTTCTCTCTCTAATTCTGCCTCTCAAATAAATAAATATTTTTTTAAAAAAAAGAAGATGTGAATCAGAGAATACTACTGCTATGTGTGTACCGGGAAAAGTTGTATTATCTCCTTCATGAGATTATCACCATGGGCAAATAAGAGAGTCATATTTATTTAGACAGAAGTTTCCTTACCTTTAAAATGAAGCTGTCATAATTTTCCTGATGTGTAACATGGTTCGGAATCTCTTTTTCTGGGTGTAGGTGAGATGGGACTATCCTAGCATTTAGTTTATGTGAGTTTTCATAAACATGCAAGATTACATGGGCATTTCATACTAGGAGTTTTAGGCATCTGAGTGTGTAAATCATGGTCAGCTCTGGATTCTAACACTTTCTTTCCTACCTGTAAAGTTATTGTAGGAACCCAGTCTGCCTTCATGAAGAAAAGATAGAGGTATCAAGGATGTTGACTGACTGTTCGACTGATTGTTACCAGGTATGCAGAAACTGTGTTTCTATAACATGAAATGCTTGCCTTCACCAAGTAAATACATTGTCTTCTAGGTAGACATGTTTCCACAGCTTTTTTTAAAAAAAAGATTTATTTATTTGAAAGGCAGAGTTATAGAGAGGCAGAGAGAGAGAGAGAGCTTCCATCCATCTGCTGGGTCAATCCCCAAATGGCTGCAACAGCCAGAGCTGGGCCAATCTGAAGCCAGGAGCCAGAAGCTTCCTCCAGGTCTCCCACGCAGGTGCAGGGGCCCAAGGACTTAGGCCATCTTCTACTGCTTTCCCAGGACATAGCAGAGAGCTGGATCGGAATCGGAAGTGGAACAGCCAGGTCTCTAATTGGTGCCCATATGGGATGCTGGCAGTGCAGGTGCCAGCTTTTTTAACAGTTTTGTTTTTGTTTTTGTTTTTTAAGGCAGAGAGACAGATACAGAGAAGATAGACAGAGATCCTTCCATCTGCTGGTTCACTCCCCAAATGCCAGGGCTGGGCCAGGCTGAAGCCAGGAGCCTGGTACTCATCCCAGGTCTCCCACATGGGAAGTGGGGACCCAGGTACTTAAGCCATCACCTGATGCCTCCCAGGGTGCACATGAGAATGAAATTGAAATGGAGAATAGAGCTGGGACTTGAACCCTGGGCACTCCAACATGGGATGGAATGATCCTTAGCAGGGTCTTCACTGCTATGCCAAAAGCCCACCTTTCCACAGTTTCTTATAGCAAATAAAGCCTTACTAATGGACTGAGTCCACAGTTGAATTTCCCCAGCTTCTCATTCGGTAAAGTTATATGTTGAAAATTATCCCAGATTTCAGTAATGACTGATTAATCATGGCGTGTTTGCTATGTTGCTCAGTATTGTGACAGATATTAAGTGTCCCTTTCTCAAAGAGTATTCATTCATCAAACCTATATAGTATCCTAGGGAATGTTCTTTAATAGAAGGAAATAGGAGAAGAGCGCTTAGGGTGGTTGTGGTGAGATTAGTTCATGGAGCAGAAGGACCATGGAAGTCACTTGACTGGAGGGAGTGGGTGTGGGTAGAGGGAAGCCCACTGAATCCTGGAGTAGACAGTGGAAGCCCTAAGGACCTGGTATAGGTACTGATCTCATTTCCTCATTCTCTTCGTTGGTGGAGATGTTATGTTACTCAAGCTGTCATGTGTGTGATGATTTAGGACTTGGTGACCTTTGATGATGTGGCTTTGGACTTCACCAAAGATGAGTGGCTTTTATTGAATCAAACTCAGAGAAACCTCTACAAAGATGTGATGCTGGAGAACTACAAGAACCTGGCCTCAATAGGTAAGACTGCCACCAATCCTTGTAGCCTCTTAGGCTGTATTGTAGGGTTAGTGATCTGAATTCTGAATACAATGGGAAGTAACAGTGACATAGTCCCTGCCCTAATACATTTTAATATATTCTTCAAAATATGGTTCAAGAATAAAAACACATCCACCACTATCATAGAAATGTACATTCTTGGGGCCAGCAATGTGGTATAGTGGGATAAGTTGCTGCCTACGATGCCAGCATCCCTTGTGGCCGCTGGTTCAAGTCCTGGCTAGTCCATGTCCGATCCAGCTCCCAGCTAATGCACCTCGGAAAGCAGCAGAAGATGACCCAAGTGTTTGAGCCCCTGCACCCACGTGGAGATGCGGATGAAGCTCCTAGCTATTGGCTTTAGTCAGCCCAGCCCCAGCTGTTGTGGCCATCTGAGAAATGAACAGTGGATGGAAGATCTCTGTCTCTCCTTCTCTCTGTAACTCTGCCTTTCAAAAAAATAAATAAAACTTTAAAATAAAGTACATTTTTAAATTCCATGTTTGACATGTTGAATTGAATTATTGAATTTCTAATTTACTTTATATTATTTTTAATATTTTTATATAAATTATTCTAATTATTCTAATTTCTAAATTATTCAATTTCTAATTGAATTAGAAATCATACTGGATCCATGTCTTGTGTTTTAACAAGTCCTCCAGATGAAGCTAATACCCCGTAATGATGAAGAATGTTGTTGTTGTTTTTTTCCCCCATAAATATGAAGGTCACTGTTTCACTTTATTTCCTCAGTGATTGAAGGTGCTACTGGTTTGCAAATGTGTCCATAAATATTGATTTGGGTTTAGGGGCCAGAGGGTTTTTTTTGTGTATGTGTATAGGGGGTGCAATAAGAGGTGATATTTCCATGCTGAGCTCTTTTGAAATAATTTCATTGTTTTCAGTATAAGCGAAATGCCTGTTTTATATGAAAATTTATCATCTCTTGCATGAACTTCTTCCATTAATGTTTCTTTTCTCTGTGTTCAGGATGTCAGCTCATCAAACCTAGTCTGATCTCTTGGTTGGAACAAGAAGAGTATTTGAGTACAGTGCCAAGAGGAGTTCTAGGTGAGTAAAACAGGACAGCCCTGACCAAGGAGAAGTCCGGTGTTTGGAAGTATAGAGAGAAAACTTTTTAAGATGTACTTTATCTTTTGAGTACATTTATCTCAGAAGTTAGGCTGTCTTCAGCTTCCCATAATGTGTTACTTTTCTGTGTAATCAGACTTTCTGTCGATCTTGCAAAAGGACCCTTCCTGTTTCTTTGTGAAGTTTGTCACTTAGTTATAAGGTCTTTGTCCAGAACTTTGCCCCCTTGCATCCCTGATAACCTTCCTATTCACAGTCAGCTTTAATTTTCAAGGAATCCGTTTGTAATAAACTTTGTTTAAAAATGTGATGCTCATCTCCATAATACTGCCAGATTGTAGACCTAGCCAGAGTTCTCAAAGTCTACATTTTTTTAAAGCAGGCTTAATTTGAAAATAAACACAAATGAAAAATATTTTTTTTCAACTCCTGCAGTCTGCCATTTATTTTTTCATACTCTAATCTGTTTTCCTCTTTATCTTCAGAATGGGAAATGCAACTCAAAACCAAAGGGTCAACACTTCAGCAGAATTTTTTCAGGGGACAAACCTCTAATGGGAAACACATGGTAAGATTAACAAAGGCTATTTGGTATTTTCTACATTCAGCAAAGATTGTAGATTCCATTTTAGAAAATCAGTCTAAATGAGAGAAATTTGAGAGAAGTACCATTCACACAGAAGAGAACAGTGTGTCTGAAAGATTCCAAGACTATCATGAATCTTGTTGCTTCAGAATTTGCAGAAGTAAAAAATCTCATGTATATAACTAGACTTTGAGGTTTTAAAACGATTTTGGCTGCCGCCGCGGCTCACTAGGCTAATCTTCCGCCTTGCAGCGCCAGCACACCGGGTTCTAGTCCCGGTCGGGGCACTGGATTCTGTCCCGGTTGCCCCTCTTCCAGGCCAGCTCTCTGCTGTGGCCCAGGAGTGCAGTGGAGGATGGCCCAAGTGCTTGGGCCCTACACCCCATGGGAGATCAGGAGAAGCACCCGGCTCCTGCCATCAGATCAGTGCGGTGCGCCGGCGACAGCGCGCTGGCCGCGGCGGCCATTGGAGGGTGAACCAACGGCAAAGGAAGACCTTTCTCTCTCTCACTGTCCACTCTGCCTGTCAAAAAAAATTTTTTTTATAAAAATCTTAGTGTTTGTTTTTTTAAAAAAAGATTTATTTGAAAGTCAATTACACAGGGAGAGAATCTCCCATGTAGGTGGCAGGGGCCCAAGCACTTGAACCATCTTCCACTGCTTTCCCAGGCACATTAACAGGGAGCAGGATTGGAAGCGGAACAGCCAGGTCTTGAACTGATGCCTATATAAGATGCCAGTGTCACAGGTGGCGGCTTTACTGGCTGTGTCACAATGCCAGCCCCAAAATCTTAGTCTTTTAATGTGGGGCAGATGGCACAAGAATCTGATAGTATTTTTTCTGCCATTCAATTAGAAAGATAACATGACAGGAACTGTATTAATTTAATAAAAATGGTGAAAATCATAGCATTAAGATTATGTTAATCAGCATTCATCTATTCATCCACAGAGAACAAGCAACCGTGTTGGTGAACTCTGTGAGTGTAGCCAGTGTGGAGATGTTTGTAGTGAACACTCGTGTTTAAAGACACAGACGAGAACTCAGAATACAGGGAAACGTCGTGAGTGTGATCAGCATGGAAAAGATTTCCTTACTCTGCATGCACAAGCCTCTGTTGGAGAGCAGCTTTCTGAATTTGAGTGTGGAAAAACCCTCAGCATGACTCCAAACATTGTAAATGAGAGAACACGCATGGGAGAAAAACCTTTTGAGTGTGGTGACTATGAGAAAGCCTTTGTTAATCAGTCGTACCTCCAAGCTTTTATGAGGACTTACAATGGAGAAAAACTCTATGAATGGAACGAATATGGAAGCAGTTTTATTTTCCCCACAAATCTTCCTATGCATATAGAAACTCTTAATGCAAAAAATCCCTACAAATGTAAGGAATGTGGAAAAGGTTTTAGATATCCTGCTTATCTTAGTAAGCACATCCGAACCCACACTGGAGAGAAACCCTATAAATGTACAGAATGTGGAAAAGCTTTTGCTCAGTTTTGGGGTCTTTCTCAACATGTACGAATTCATAGTGAAGAAAAGCCCTATGAATGCAAAGAATGTGGGAAAGCCTTCAGTGTTTCTTCATACCTAACTAAACATTCAAGAATTCATACTGGAGAGAAACCCTTTGAATGCAAGGAATGTAGAAAGTGCTTTGGAAATTCTTCATACCTTAAGAAGCACATTCAAGTTCACACTGGAATAAAACCCTATAAATGTAAAGAATGTGGAAAAGCCTTCACTCAGTCCTCAGGCCTTACCAAGCATGTACGAAGTCACAGCGGAGAGAAGCCCTATGAATGCAAGGAATGTGGGAAAGCCTTCACTACTTCCACTTGCCTGATTGCACATGTCAGGACTCACACTGGAGAGAGGCCTTTTGTTTGTAAGCAATGTGGGAAGGCCTTCGCTAGGTCCTTTTGTCTCATTGAACATATCAGAACTCACGCTGGAGAAAAACCCTATAAATGTGAAGAATGTGGGAAAGCCTACACTGCATCGTCAGACCTGACTAGGCACCTAAGGGTTCACACAGGAGAGAATCCCTATAAATGCAAGGAGTGTGGGAAAGCCTTCGCTCACTACTCAAACCTTTCTGTGCATCAAAGAACTCACACTGGAGAGAAGCCTTATGAATGTAAGATATGTGGGAAGGTATTTACATATTCCTCAAGTCGTAACAGTCACATACGAACTCACAAAGCCCAGTAACCATAGACGTTTAAGAAATAGGTGAATGTTAAAAGCTTCCACAAACCTTAATATTCGTGTGCTATTCTACACTGGCGAAAAACTATAAATGTAAGCAATGTGACAGATCCTTCACTTATTTCAGTTCACTTGAAATACGTGAAAGATGTCACAGAGGAGAGAAACCTACTGAATATAAGGTGTGTGACAGAACTAACTCCAGTTTTAGCGAATTTAAGATAATTTATAAAATACTTTATAGCTGATGTGTACTTGCAATAAATTTTCAAGAAGACATTCCTCTGTTAGTGGTTTAATACCTGCTTAAGGTAGTGGTCTTCACACTATTTTATTGGCTTTCTTTTGAATATGAAAGTAATTTGTGGGTTGTTGATATTTTGTCATTCAGAACACCTTATTCCCTGGCATCCTTTCTTTCCTTTGATAACAGCATTCATGAGTAAGTACCCTGAAAGGAATAAAGTTCTCTGTTTTTCACATTTGTAGTATAATTTTAGGGTGAGCCTTTAAGGTTAGATGTCTGTATCAAAGCATAAATAGATTTAATTTTGCTGTACATCAAATTTTTGCCTTTCCCACTTGTTAACACTTTGTTAATCAACTTTCTAAAAACTTGGTTAAAGATTGTTTTGTAGAGAAAGGACAAGTTTTAGTCTCAACTACAGGGCATCTGTTTAAAAAAGGAAAATCATCCTGTTTACTTTCATCCTAAGTAATATTCCTAAAATGATTAACAGATTTAGGCATTAATTACATTTACAAAGTCCCTTCATATTTTTCAATTTTCTTGTATAGAAACAAGTCCTACATCTTACATACACTCAAGGGGAGGTAATCAATACCAGAAGGTTGTGATTGTTAGAGTCATATTACAGTCTGTTGGCCACAGCGTACTTGTAGCCGATTGAAGGGGTGGAAATTTCCTGAGTTCCTGTAGACCTGAACTGGTCTGCAATCATCAGTGAAGCATACAGCAGTGCTCAAAGGTAGAGGGTGCTTTAGTTGGTGCTGTGGTGTGCAAAGGGATTTTGGGATTATGCTATATGCAGGAAACCTTGAATGCTTGGGTGTTCATGTTAGGAGAGGGGTGACAAACTAATGAGGCACATACAGGTGTGGCGGGTGCATGGGCAATTTGATACTGTAATTGCAAGGCCTGGGACCCTCAGTGTCCACATCTAGAGGGTTGAGGGCAATACGCCTTGGACATAGCCCTTTTATGGGTAGGTACATAGTGTGTGGGGCTGGCATGCTATTTGGATCCTGGGATGCACTGCCTGTGTCATAAGGAACATTGGAAACAACCCATCAAAAGGTTGGCACATGTGTACCCAGTGGGAGCTCTTTGAAAGCCTTAAACAGCCTTGTTAGGAAGGTGACGAGAATCTGACGCCTGAACCAGATGTTCAGAACTTCTTATAGACTGTGTTCTGGGCATGTAACATGGGCAGAGCCAAAAGATGCCTTTAACCATATGTTGCTGATAAACATTTAGAACCAGATCCAGCTTGTTCACTCCCCAACTGGCCACAACAGCTGGAGCTGCGCCAATCTGAAGCCAGGAGCCAGGAGCTTCTTCCGGGTCTCCATGTGGGGCCCAAGGACTTGGGCCATCTTCCACTGCTTTCTCAGGTCATAGCAGAGAGCTGGATTGGAAGTGGAGCAGCCGGGTCTCAAACTGGCGCCCATATAGGATGCTGGAGCTTCAGGCCAGGGTGTTAACCCACTGCGCCACAGTGCCGGCCCTAGTCACATTCTCAATTAGCATATTCTCACTAAATCATATATTTAAATTCAAGAAAAATGAATGTAAAGTAACAATGGGGGGGGTGCCGTGGCTCACTTGGTTAATCCTCCGTTTGCTGCGCCCACATCCCATATGGGTGCCGAGTTCTAGTCCCAGCTGCTCCTATTCCAGTCCAGCTCTCTGCTGTGGCCCTGGAAGGCAGTGCAGGATGGCCCAAGTGCTTGGGCCCCTGTACCTGCATGGGATACCAGGAGGAAGCACCTGGCTCCTGGCTTCGGATCCCACAGTGACGGCCACAGTGGCCATTGGAGAGTGAACCAATGGAAGGAAGACCTTTCTCTCTCACTGTCTAACTCTGTCAAATAAATAAATAAAAATTTTTTAAAAAGTAACAATGGGAAGGAGATGGAAGTGAATGCAAGCTTACATGAATGGATACATGTATATAAGCCAGCACCTGCATGAAGCTTTTTGTTACAATTAAGGATCTGACACAGCTTACTTATGCAAGAAGGAGGTTTATTTATGCCTGTGGTTTTAGATTTCAGTTCAAGATCAGCCATGCCCATTGGTTTGGCCCTCTGGTGAGACTGGTGGATGCCAATGGCAGAGAACCTGCTGAGGGAGGATCATGAAGAAAAATCCTTGGCAAGCTAGGAAGTAGAGAGAGTGGCTAGGCCATGTGGCTTTTATAGCCAACCTCTGGCAAGAAACTGCCCTTCCAAGTGCATGCCACCAATGACCTAAGGGCCTCCCACTGTGCCCGCCTCCTAGACACTATAATTGAATAAGTTTTTTTAATTATTTATTTATTTTATTTGAAAGGCAGAGTTAGAGAGGCTGAGAGAGAGAGAGAGAGAGAGAGGTCTTCCATCCGCTGGCTCACTCCCCAGATGGCCACAACGGCCAGAGCTGGGCCAATCCGAAGTCAGGAGCCAGGAGCTTCCTCCGGGTCTTCCGTGTGGTTGCAGGAGCCCAAGCACTTAGGCCATCTTTCCCAGGACAGAGCAGAGAGCTGGATTGGAAGTGGAGCAGCCAGGATTCGAACGGGCACCCATATGGGATGTCGGCACTGCAGGCGGTGGCCTCACCCACTACGCCACAGCGCCGGCCCCAATTGAATAAGTTTTTATGCCCTTACTGCCATCAACTTATGTCTGAGATTTAACCACCTGTATGAGTTAGGGAGACACTCCTGTGTTCAAAACTAGCAACACATGTGGAAAAAACAGAAAATATGCAAGACCACTACTGTCCCTGTTTTTTATTGAATCTCAGGGTCTGCAGTTGGTAAACCTGTTGCTATGGCCTGGGTGTTGTCCCCTCCAAACCTTTTGTTGAAATGTAATCTCCAAAGTCATAGGTTAATGCTGTTTGGAAGTGGGAGCTTTGGGAGGAGAGCAGCATTCAATGGGGGTCAAAATGTTGGGGGCTACCATGCCTACATTATTTTTAAAATAATTTTTTTTTAGATTTTATTTATTTGAGAGAGTTACAGAGAAAGGGAGTGACAGAATTCATCCATCTGCTGGTTCACTCCCCAAATGGCTGCAACTGCCCCAAGTGGGCCAGGCCAAACTCAGGAACCAGGAGCCTCCCCTGGGGTCTCCCACGTGGGTGAAGAAGGCCAAGCACTTGGGCCATCTTCCACTCCTATCCCAGGCCACAAGCAGAGAGCTGGATTGGAAGAGGAGCAGCTGGGACTGGAACCGCGCCCACATGGAATGACAGGGCCGCAGTCAGAGGCTTAGCCCACTATGCCACAGCGCCAGCCCCCTGTTGAGTAAATTCATAATGAAAATACACAATAATAATAAAAAAAAGTAACATTGCAGACGCAAAGGAATCCAATTGTAGAGTTCACTATAGTGTTCAAATAAAAAGAAATAGGGGTAATAAACGCCCAAGAATTGATGGAATGGAAACTAAAGGCCAGTTCATGGATTGGCAGACTCATCAACATCACGCAGTCACCACAGAAACCCAAAGAACTGGGAAGGGCACATGTATCCCAATCAATAAGAGGACCTAAAGCAGCATTGGATTGAGACGAGCCATAGATCGGGGTGGGAAGAGAAGTCGTTTCACGGATTGACAGATTACTCAACTCTGAACACCGTGTAGTGCTCCAGCGGGGGAGGCAGGCAGAAGCTCTTTAGAGGAGCCGGGAAGAGCGCGAAACCCCATCCTCGGCCGCCCCTTCGCTCCAAAGGGGCCCAACCCCACCTCCAGCCCCTCCCGCACAAGACGCCCGCCCACTGCTGCGGCGCTGCGGCGACCCCACCACGCCTCCGCGCCCACGCGGGACCATCGGCACGGCTCAGCCGCGCGCCGCTGCGGCCCCGCCCGGCCCGGGACTGCGAGGCGGAAGTGACGTCGCCGTCCGGCCGCGCTCCGCACACGCAGGCTGCGCGCGACCCGGGTCGTCGCCTTCCTGGTTGTGGGGTCGGTCCTGGGGGTGGTAGTGAGTCCTGACGGAAAAGGTCCTTAAAGGACAGCGTGGCCCGAGCCACCGAGGAGCCTCCCCGGAGGGGCCTGGCCCGCGGGCCCGCGCGTCCTGTCAGCCGCTGCCCGAGAGGCCGCTCGGCGCGGGGAGCCGGCTCGCGAGAGCCCTGAGGACGCGTCCGTGGGGCGCCTGCAGCCGCCGTGCTTCCCTCGGCACTGGCCTCCGGCGAACCTTCCCGCTTTTGTTTTTTTCCAGAAGGAAAAGAATTTCCGCTGTGCGAATCATGTTGACTCCGGCCCCAGCGTCCTCCTACCTCACGGACCTGGCCGTTGCGGGGTGTTCCGGTGAGCACTGGGAGAAAGTTGGCCCAAGAGGGCCTTTTCTTATGCAGACGAGTGTTCCTTGGCCGGTTCATTGTGTCTCACACGTACTTTCCATTGCAGAGTGAGACCCTGCAGTGCCGCGCGGTTGCATGTTTCTGCGTGGAAATAGAAACGTTGGTAGACTTGTTTCTTCCTAACAAAGGCAGGAATGAGCAGGTCTTCGCTAGGTGAACTTCTGGGCTTGCACAGCCCCCCGGAGTGTCACAGCCAGGGCCGCCCGGGAGGAAGGACGCAGGCTTTATGGTACTAGGACTAGAGTAATCGGCTTTACCATTGAAAGGATGGGAAAGTCTTAAGCGACTTCCTGGCCATTTGGACATCCGATACAGTGGGTGTGCACCTTGTAGTAAATGCACTTATTTTTAGTGTTTTGCTTATTTGCTCTTCCCAAAAAAGAGATATAAATATTGTGGTAAAATCTGAGTAGAGAAGACACATGACTTCTAATGACTTGGTATTGTATCTCTAAAAGATAAGGACACTGTCTCAATAAATCCACAATGTTATTCAGCTGAGAAAATAACACTAGTATCATTTAAAACCAATTCTGTATGAAATTTGTAAAGCAAATTCTCCATATTGTCCCAAAATAGGCTTTTGAGTGTTTCTGGATCTAAGATCCACTCAAGGTTTCTGCAGTACATCTGTTACATCATTAACTCTCTTTGAACTTACAATAGCCCATGTTTCTCCATTATATTGGCTTTTTAAACAAAAGATTTATTTATTTGAAAGGCAGAGTAACAGAAAAAATAGATCTATCCACGGGTTCACTGCCCAAATGCCTGCAATGCCCAGGCCAGCCCAGGCCAAAGCCAGGAGTCAAAAACTCCATCAGGGCCTCCCACATGGGTGGCAGAAACTCGAGTATCTGGCCATCATCCTGTACCTCACAGCTGCATGAGCAGGAAGTTGGACTGGAAGTCTGGAGTAGCAAGGATTCAAACCAGACACTCCAATGTGTGATGTCACCATCCCAAATGGTAACTTACCTACTGCACCAAATGCTCACCCTGAAACAACTTTTTTTTAAACTTGTTTAAAAATTACTCCACAGGAAAGTAGAAATTTTATTTTTAACTATAATGCACCTGTTTTCCAAAGGAATCAGTCTGTGGGGCTGGCTCTGTATTGCAGTGAGTTATACCACCAAAACCTAGCTGCTCGGCTTCTGATCTTCCTTGTAATCTACTTGGGAAGACAGCACGAGATGGCCCAAGGACTGGGGCCCTGCCATGCATGTAGGAAGCCAGGATGGTGTTTCTGGTTCCTGGCTTCAGCCTGGCCCAGCCCTGGCTGGTGCAACCATTTGGGGAATGAACCAGCAGATAGAAGATCTCTCTTGCTGTCACTATCCCTTTCAAATAAATAATACATAATTTTTTTAAAAAAGGGAATCAGTCTCTTGTGAGTTTCATCATGAAACTCATAAAATTGTATATATATATCAGAGCTAAAGTGATTTTATTTTGTATTTTGAATTTTTTATAGTGCTCCCAATTTTTGTGTTACTTTATATATATATATATATATATATTTTTTTTTTAAGATTTTATTTATTTATTTGAAAGGCAGAGTTACTGAGAGAGGGAGAGACAGAGAGAAAGGTCTTCCATCCACTGGGTCACTCCCCAAATGGCAACAACAGCTGGAGCTGGGCCAGTCCGAAGCCAGGAGCTTCTTCTGAGTCTCCCACATGGGTGCAGGGGCCCAAGGAATTGGGCCATCTTCTATTGCTTTCCCAGGCCATAGCAGAGAGCTGGATAGGAAGAGGAGCAGCCAGGACTCAAACTGGCACCCATATGGGATGCCAGCACTGCAGACGGAGGTTTAACCCACAAACAAAGATGTAGCATCAGCTCCCAGTATTCCCAATTTTTTAATTAAAATGTTATTTCTGTGTGCCTACTATTTGTGCTTAGTTATACTGTTGCATTTTTGTGTTAAATGGCAGCTGATTCAAAATGTACAATGACCATTCAGTTCCTATAAAAAGTTAGGCTGTCTCCAAGAAACAGGGAGAGAAGGACCATCAAATCGCACAGTGATAAAACAATGAAATTTACAATGTATCAGCGAAGGCAGGTTTAAGTGAATTGTAGCAAGTGTGTTCTATGGAGTTAAGAATGCATTAATAAGGGGGTAGGCATTGTGGCAGTGTTTCTTTTAGGTCAGCTACTTCTCAGTGACAGGTATGTGGTGAGACCAGGTAATTGCAGGGGTATATTCCCACTGTTGTACTTTTTTGCACTGAAGGGGTTCCATATTAGAAACATTGTTGTGTGAATGCTGTGACTGTGGAGAAAGCAATGTATGAGAACAAGGATGGTGGTGCCAACAGAACCAAAATAGGAGAATGGCCTTGTGCTAGTCACTCGATTTCTGCCTCCTCTGGGTTCTGATCATTTCCCACTGAACTCAGGGAATTCATATCAAAGACTCTATCAGCTCCGAGCCTAGGCACATAAATAATAATCACCATTTTTAAGGATGCTGATTGTAAGAAATTGGGCAGATCTGCCTGGTGCTAAATCTACATCAATAAAGTAAGAAATGACTGGCTTCCTCCTGAGCTGTCCTTGAAACAGAGGTTCCACAAACCCTGAGCCAGTGACCCCTACCCAACTGCCCAAGTTCCCTGATGAGTCACAGTTACTCAGTACATGTGGCACTGCTGTAGAGGCCTTCCTAATGCAGTGTGAAAATAAACCTGGGCTACAGAGAAGGAGAGGCAGGAGAGAGAGCAAGCAAGAGAGCACACACACTTCCATTTGCTGGTTCACTCTCCAAATGGCCTGTCATAAGTCTGCCTTTCAAATAAATCTTTTTTAAAAAAATTCCACATCTTCAGATTAGCTTCTATTTACCCAATTACCAGAAACACCATAGAATATATTTTGAAAACTCATTGTTTACTCCATTTTATTTTACTTATTTTTGTGTGTCTGAACACACCAGAAGTTAATTTAGCTTGTTTCTTGGTAGTATTTAAAAACTGTAAAGACTGGCCGGCACCGCAGCTGACTAGGCTGATCCTCCGCCTGCATCGCCGACACCCCGAGTTCTAGTCCTGATGGGGCGCCGGATTCTGTCCCGGTTGCTCCTCTTTCAGTCCAGCTCTCTGCTGTGGCCCGGGAAGGCAGTGGAGGATGGCCCAAGTGCTTGGGCCCTGCACCCACATGGGAGACTAGGAGGAAGCACCTTGCTCCTGGCTTGGGATCGGCGCAGCACACCAGCTATAGCAGCCATTTGGGGGTGAACCAACGGAAGGAAGACCTTTCTGTCTCTCTCTCTCTCTCTCACTAACTCTGCCTGTCAAAAAAAAAAACACAACAACAACCTGTAAAGATTTTTCTGAAGTTGTATAAATAACTTATGGTGAGAAGTACTGTGCTCAAAGTTTACATTTAGTGTTTTAATACTTTCTTACTTTGAAAATCCTGTAATTCCATTGAATGATCAAATCTACCAAAGAGCATTTTTTAAGAAAAGGGAAAATTTTCTGAAATAATGGACCAGGTCAATACTAGGAAAAGATGGTTCTCTGAGAAGATCCATAATCAGACAGTATCTCTGCCATTGTTGGCGGGGCTGGGGGGTGGGGGAGGGCAGAGCTGTTTGAGTTGTGTTTTCAACTAGGACTTTGTTGAGGTTGTCCAGTACTTGCAATGTATTCAGTGTTTCTTGGAAAAATATTTTCAGGTTTTGTAATATTTTTGGGTCATTGGTAGAATAACAATGGTTATTTCCCTTTTCTGCTATAATCTTATTTCAAAACTGATTCAGAATATTTGTGCTTTCAGGGTGTATATGTACAGTCCCTGTTTTCTGTCTTTATTTTGCATAGTACTTAGGAATGATATTTGAAGATTGTGACTTATCTTCTTGCAAAGGAAAGTTTGGTCTTTAAGCCTCTGATATTTTCTGTATAATTCGCTGCCCTCTGCTCAGTAGCTGGCAGAAGGACAGAACTTCTTAATTATTTGTTAATAAAGGAAAAAGCCAGAACTAAGAAGTCCGAAGTCAGCACAAAACTACTGGTTGCCTAAGCTTTACCAAATGCAGTACAAGATTATCAGTAGAAATTTGATTACTCATAATGTTCAGGAGTACTCTAGATGAGTGCTGACCAGTGGAAATATAATGTATAGGCTAAATCTAAAAACTTTTACAATCCAAAGCAAGCTGAGAAGAAATAAGATTACTATGTTTTACTGTTCTCTCAGTATCACCTTCAGCATCATAGATGGCAGCCACTGAATTGGCCCATGGCCAGTCCCATTGATGCTCATCTTCACAGAATCTTCTTTTGGTGCTACCTGCGCTATATAGACTCCAGTGATCTGAACCTGAGTACTCACCCTCCCTACTAATCCATTTTGGGGGTACAGAAGTAGGTTAGAGAACACTGTTCTAAGTCAGCCCCTGCTGAGTGTGCTTTGAGAAAAGTCGGTGTATAATTTCTTCCATGAGATTTATCACCATGAACAAATGGTCAACATTTCTTTGGGAGAGAGTTTCTTTATCTGTAAAATGAAACTTTAGTTTTGATAGGAAGCATGGCTCACCATCCTGTTTTTGGCTTTAGGTGACCCAGGAGTATTCTGGCATTGTATAGCAGTAGTATATGAATTTTCATGAGTATGCAGGCTTATATGGAAATTTCATACTAGGATGGATTGATGTCTAGGCAGGCAAGTGTGGACTTATGAGCAGCTCCAGGTTCTCATGCTTTCTCTCTTTTCCAGGAGCCCTTCTTTCTAAGGACCAAATATGCCTTCCTGAAGAAAATATAAAGTCAGAAGGGGTGTTGGCTGACTGTCTGACAACTTGTTACCAGGTACACAGAAACTGTATCTTTCAACAGAATGACATACTTGTCCACTAGGTAGACAATCTCCAGTTTGGTTTAACTTGCTCATTCTCTAGTGAACATGAATGGCGATGTTACTGCTGGTACTTGTTGCTTAGGCTGATTTGTGTGTGATCATTTAGGACTTGGTGACCTTTGATGATGTGGTTTTGGACTTCACCCAAGATGAGTGGATTCTATTGGATCAAACTCAGAGAAACCTCTATAGAGATGTCATGCTGGAGAACTACAAGAACTTGGCCTCAGTAGGTAAGACTGCCATTATTCCTTGTGGCCTGTTAGGGAAGGATTGTATGTTAGATGCTTACTGTGTTGCAGGATCAGTGATCTCACTCTCAATTCAGTGCGAAGTAGAAGAGGTATAGTTCCTCCCTTACTCAACTGTTATCCATGGAGATGTGTTCCAGACCCTCCCAGTGGATGCCCTAAAGATGGGTATACCCATGCTGAGTCCTGTGTATTGTTTCACTAATGCTCTGAGGTGCAACAGAAAAACTAGCATGAATTTCTTTCTTTTCTTTCATAATTTCATGAAGTTCTGTTCATATTGTAGATATCTGTGACTTCAACATACAATTTGTTTTCTTTATTAAGTCAAGAATTTTCATGGAAAGGAAGGATTTATATCTTTTCTTTGGCTTATGTGAATTTCTAGCCTCACTACTCTTGTGCTTTGGGGCCATTATTCAGTAAAATAAATGGGACTTGAACCCTGGCACCACAACACTGTGAGTCTGTCTGATAGATGAGACAGCTGCTGAATGACTAAGGAACAAGTAGTTGTATAAGTTACATCAATAAGTTTGTGAGAAATGGAATTAAAAGTATGAGTTTATTTTGGTGCAGAAAATTTTTTTAGATCATGCATAGTCTTTTCCATTGTACACATTTTTCATGCATTATGAAAATAACTTTTTTGTTCCAAATGAAACTCATATTTTAAAAAGTTTTTTATTTATTTGAAAGTCAAAGAGACACACACAGACAGGAAGAGATCTTCTGTTCAGTGGGTCACTCTCCAAATACCTACAACAGCTGGGGCTGGGCCAGACTGAAACTAGGAGCTAAGAACTTAACCTGGCTCTTACACATGGGTGGCAGGGACCAACTGCTTGAGGTATCACCTGCTACCTCCACAGGCACACATTAGTAGGAAGCTGAAGTCAGTAGATCCAGGACTTTTTGAACCCAGGCACTCCAATATGGGGTGTAGACGTCCCAAGCAGCATTTTAATTGCTATACCAAATACCTACCACAAACTCATGCTTTAATTCCATTTTTCCACCAACTTTTTGAAGTATCTTTGTACAGTGAGAATATGCTGGACAAAGGGTTGGTTCATGGGACAGAGCAGGATGTGCAAGCTTTCATCATGCTCCTCAAATGGTGTGGACTTTGAAACTTACAAATTGATGGTTTGGAACTTTGTATTTAACACATCTGGCTGGATTTGATGGCAGTTAACTGAAACCAAGGCAAGTAAAACCATGGATAAGGGGAAACTAAGTTTTAATCTGATGTTCTGGATTTCAAAATGTGGCCCAAGATCACCTCATCACCACCACCTTGTTAGCAATGAAAATATCAGTCTCCTCCTTTGTCAGTGTACTGAGTCAGAAGCACATGTTGGATCTGTGTCATGTATATTTTAACATGTCGTCCAGATGACTCTCATGCACTTTAATGTGTGGGGATCACTAAACTGCCTTAAGAAACAGTTAATGTCTTTGCTTCACTTACTTTATTTTCTGTTTGATTTACAGTGTTCATGTTAATATGTTGTTAATGTGTGCATAAGCATTAATTTGTGGTTCTGCTGTCAGAGATAAACTTTTTGAAGCACAGATAGTTGATTATTTGCATGCTTAGCCCTTTCAAAGTAATTTCTCTGCTTTCAGTAGGAACATAGTCCCTAATTTATACTATGTTTTAAGATTTCTTGTGTATGTGTCTGCCACTAATGTGTCTTCCCTTGTACAGGATGCCAGCTCATCAAACCTGACTTGATCTCTTGGTTGGAACAAGAAGAGGTTTTGAAGACAGTAGATAGAGGAATTCTCCAAGGTGAGTATTGATGAGGAACAAGGAAATGTTCAGAGTGTTTGGAAATATAATGAAGAAGCCTTCTAAGATATACTTTCTCTCAAAAAAAAAAAAAAAAAAAAAGGTACAGCCACTTATCAGAAGGAAGATACCTTCAAATTCTCATATTTATGAGATCTTATGATCTCACAAAATGACCTAGTCTTTTTTAAGCTTATTGTTTTGTTTTATGCTCTTTGTCTACATCTTTGCCACTTTTCACTCCTGATCATATTCTTCTGTTCACCTTCAGTTTTAATTTTCAAAGAATCAGTGTGTAATAAACCTAAAATTTTGATCTACATCCTTACCATTGCCAATTTGTGACCTAGCTAAAATGCTCAATCTTTGCTCCTATTTTTAAAACTAGGTTTAATTTGAAAACAAATAAAGAAGCCATATCATTTTTAACTTCAGAAATCTATCATTTCTTTCTCCAAACCTTTTTTGTTTTTCTGTTTATATTCAGAATGGGAAATGGAAATTATCACCCAAGAGTCAAGACTTCATCAGGACTTCTTGGGGAAACAAACCTCCAGTGAGCTAGAAATGGTAAGATAAATGAATATCTGATGTTTTCCACACTTAGAGAAGAAGGCAAATTCCATTATAGAAAATGAGCCCAAATGAGGGACTCATGACAGAAGTAGCATTCACCCAGCAGGGAGCAATAAAGATTCTCTGAATATAATGAATTTTTTGATGCCTCAGACCTATTGTGAAACCTGTTTACACAACTACACATTCGTTTATAACTAGACTTAGAGGTTTTAAAATACTTTATGAAAGTCTAAACAATCTTTTGAAGATTAGAGCAGATGGCACAGGAATCTGGCAGTTTTATCCCATCATTCAGTTAGAAAGAAAACAATATGGCAGAAACTGTATGAATACAGTGAAAATGTTAAAAACTATGATTGTCATCTAAATAATGTACTTTAATCATCATTCCACTATCAGAAGTAGCAAATGTATTGATCAATTATAAAATTACTAAGATAGCATTGGGAATTCCCTTATAGAAAATCAAAGCCGGCACCGTGGCTCAATAGGCTAATCCTCCACCTAGTGGCACCGGCACACCGGGTTCTAGTCCCGGTCGGGGCGCCGGATTCTTTCCCGGTTGCCCCTCTTCCAGGCCAGCTCTCTGCTGTGGCCCATGAGTGCAGTGGAGGATGGCCCAAGTGCTTGGGCCCTGCACCCCATGGGAGACCAGGAGAAGTACCTGGCTCCTGCCTTCGGATCAGCGCGGTGCGCCGGCCGCAGCACGCTGGCTGCGGCGGCCATTGGAGGGTGAACCAATGGAAAAGGAAGACCTTTCTCTCTGTCTCTCTCTCTCTCACTATCCACTCTGCCTGTCAAAAAAAAAAAAAAAAAGAAATAAAGAAAGAAAATCAAAGAAGATTTTGGAGAGAAGTACTGTTTGCCCCAATGAAAGTAATGTCTTTAGAGATAACTCTGAATATAATGAGTTTAGTATATCCTAATTCTACAAGTACACATTATACAAGGGCACTTCAGAAGGTTTATGGGAAAGTCACATTATCTTTTAATTGCATTTTTACATGAAACTTTTGAGACCCCTTCGGATGTAACTGGGTACTGAAATTCTTAAAACAATTCTGTGAAATTGAATCATTCCAAGATTAGAGCAGATGGCATAGCATACTTGGAGTAGCATTGCTTCATTCAGCTTGAAGGGATCAACAGCTGGAACTGTATGCACATAATGAAAATAGCAAATGTCCTAATGATGACGTTCCTCATCAGATGGGTGGTGTCTATTAGTTTAAACATCTTTTAACCATCATTCATCCCTTAACAGGGAAGAAGCCACTGCAGAAGGCAACTCTACAGCCATAGGCAACGAGGAGATATCTTCAGTGAACACTCATATTTTAAAACATATATGAGAACTCAAAATACAAAAACGACCTGTGACTGTAGTGAGTATAGAAAACACTTCCCAACTCTACAGAAGAAAACTTGTAGTGCACAGAAACTTTCTGTGTTGAATCAGTGTGAAAGAGCTCTCAGCCTGAGTCTAAATGTTGTTTATCAGAGAACACGCATGCTAGACCCATCTTTTGAAGGCAATAACTATGGGAAAGTCTTCCTTAATCAGTCATACTTTCAGGGACACATGGAAAATCAGAATGGAGAAAAAGTCTATGAATGCAATCAGTGTGTGGGAGCTTCCACTCACTCCACAAGCAATGCTGTGCCAGTTCAAATGCCTCCCGTTAAAAAATCCTATGAATGTAAGACTTGTGGGAAACTCTTTAGAAATTCTTCATGCCTTAATAATCACATTCGAACCCACACTGGAGAGAAACCCTATGAATGTAAAGAATGTGGAAAAGCCTTCACTACATCTTCAAGTTTAACTGAACATTTCAGAATTCATACTGGAGAGAAACCCTATAAATGTAAAGAATGTGGAAAAGCCTTCACTAAACGCTCAGGCCTCACTACACATGTACTAACACACACTGGAGAGAAGCCCTATGAATGTCGGGAATGTGGGAAAGCCTTCACTTCATCCTCATGCCTTACTCTGCATGTAAGGACTCACACTGGAGAGAGACCCTATATATGTAAGGAGTGTGGGAAAGCCTTCCATGCTTCCTCATACCTACGTAAACATGTAAGAATTCACACAGGAGAGAAACCCTATGAATGTAAGGAGTGTGGGAAAGCCTACAAAAGGTGTTATCTGCTAACTGAACATTTGAAAACACACACAACAGAGAAGCCCTTTCAGTGTAAGCTGTGTGGAAAATTCTTTAGAAGTTCTGCATGCCGTAATAAACACATTCGAATTCACACTGGAATAAAACCCTATAAATGTCAGTACTGTGCAAAAGCCTTCACTGTTTCTTCAAGCCTAACTGAGCATATAAGAACTCACACGGGAGAGAGGCCCTATGAGTGTAAAGAATGTGGGAAATCATTCACTACATCCTCGAGCCTTATTGTACATAAAAGAACTCACACTGGAGAAAAACCCTATGAATGTAAGGAATGTGGGAAATCATATAAAAGGTGTTATCTGCTAACTGAACATTTGAAAACTCACACAGGGGAGAAGCCATTTCAGTGTAAAGTATGTGGAAAATACTTTCGAAGTTCTTTATGCCTTAGTAAGCACATTCGTGTTCACACTGGAGTAAAACCGTACAAATGTAAAGACTGTGGGAAAGCTTTCACTGTTTCTTCAAGCTTGTCTCAGCATGTAAGAACTCACACTGGAGAGAAGCCCTATGAATGTAAGGAATGTGGGAAATCCTTCACTACATCCTCAAACCTTTATCATCATGAAAGAATTCACACAAGGGAGAAACCCTATAAATGTCAGGAATGTGGGAAAGCCTACAATAGATTTTATCTACTAACTGAACATTTAATAACTCATGCAGAAGAGAAAGCCTTTGAATGGAAGGAATGCTAAAAATCTTTTAGGAATTCCTTCTGCCTTAATGAAACTTGAAATTGTTCTGGTAAGAAACCTTAGTGTAAAGAATTGAGATCTCACTTGTGCCAGTTCAAAGATGAAAGAAGGCACTCTCTCAGGATTTCCCATGGATTTAAGGAAATGTTGGAGAACCACTGGAATCTGATCTCAGATTCTAGAACTCACCCGAGAGCTATACAGTGTAAGAAACACAAAATCATTCTGTTTTGGGGGACTTATTACGTATCTTAGGTCTTGCAATGGTGAGAAATACTGCTGATGTAACATAGGTGGAAAAGTTGTAGTTCTGTTAAAAACTTTGATGTTTACTTGTAGTCACAGTGGAGAAAAATTTTATAAAGGCAATAAAGGTTAGAAAGTCATTAATCTTCATCCTTCAGTAAATATGATTCACACAAGAGCAACTGAATGTTTGGAATATAAGGATGTGTCCTAAAATCTTTTTATGTTGCTAGAAATATCGCTTTCTAGGTGGTTTTGTGGGTTTATTTTGAATATCTGTGATGTGTCTCCTTTAGAGCAACACCACTCCAGTCAGTTGTTCCAACTTCAGTTTGCAATCCTGCCAAAATTGAGCTGTCAGGACTCAAACTTACTCCTACTGGAGATTTGTGGTTGCTTTGTCATTTTCTTAAATGTTTCCCACCTATGGTGGCTCACACATTGTTATTCTCAGTGTTGTTAAAAACCCTTAAGCCTCTGTGAAAGTAATTGTGCAGGAGAGGGTGAGCCAAGAAAGGATAGGTTAATAGCTGGTAGCATGAAACTGATTTCATGACCATAAGCTGAACCATGATCCCAGAACCTGGCAAGAATGGGAATTACTGTAACATCACACAGTGAAGGAAGGGAGTACAGGAAGGTATCTGGCCTCTTGATCCACCATCCAGCTTGGTGGAGCAGTCATCATATGCCTGAATCAAGCAACAGCTGGGACTGGCAATAAGACTTAGGTTTGTCTTTCCATGAAGTATATGAACATGGCTGGTCATCATGGTCCCTTGTGCTGGAATCCATCATTGGAAGTTTCTGAATGTTATCCTTGGACATATACACAGTGAACAGCAGGACCAGGTTTTAATCTAAGTGAGAACAAATGTATATCCTTCTGACACTTAAGCAGTCTTAGAGTGTGTCATCCATGATCATTGAGGCTGCTGCCGCCTGATGAGTATTGGGCATCAGTGCATCCCAAGACCTCGGCACTGAAGATGACTTTACCAAGTCACCAGCACCTCTGCTATAGCAAGGCCCACGGATTGGTGCTCCTTAGGCACAGATTTCACAAAACATTTTTGTGCCTGTTCCTTTGATATTTGGGGTTCTATTATGTGTCTAGTCTTGCTGTCACCTTAGCCCATGATCTGGGAATGATATCAGCAAAACAGCTTTATACCCAATGCCTATAGGAAAAACTAATGGGATATTATTATCTGTAATTACTATGAAATTGATTTATTTTAAATTTGGTACCCCTAGGAGGCAACTGTTGCATCTCAATCAGCCTATTAATGCTGAAAGGCCCACTGTCTTCCCAAGGCCTTCTGCTAATCCGTTATGACTTTCCAGGTTGGTTTTTTTTTTTTTTTTTTTGACAGAGTGGACAGTGAGAGAGAGAGAGAAAGGTCTTCCTTTGCTGTTGGTTCACCCTCCAATGGCCGCTGTGGCCGGTGCATTGCGCTGATCCAAAGGCAGGAGCCAGGTGCTTCTCCTGGTCTCCCATGGGGTGCAGGGCCCAAGCACTTGGGCCATCCTCCACTGCACTCATGGGCCACAGCAGAGAGCTGGCCTGGAAGAGGGGCAACCGGGACAGAATCTGGCGCCCTGACCAGGACTAAAACCCGGTGTGCCGGCGCCGCAGGCGGAGGATTAGCCTATTGAGCCGCAGCGCCGGCCCCAGGTTGATCTTACTCCATCCATCCTTTTGGTTTCAGTGAAAACCAGTACACTACATGTGTTTTGTTTTATTTTAAGATTGATTTATTTGAAAAGTTACACAGAGAAGGAGAGGTGGGGGTGGGGGTGCGTGTCTCATCTGCTGCCTCACTCCCCAATTGGCCGCAACGGCCGGAGCTGTGCCAATCCGAAGCCAGGAGCCAGGAGGTTCTTCCAGGTCTTCCATGTGGGTGCAGGGGCCTAAGGACTTGGACCATCTTCTACTGCTTTCCCAGACTAGCAGAGAGCTGGATAGGCAGTGGAGCAGCCGGCACACGAACCAGCACCCATGTGGGATTGCTGGCACTGCAGCTGGCAGCTTCACCCACTACACCACAGTGCTGGCCCTTAAAGCATTATTGTTGCCCTTTATTGCCCTTCAGATGTTTTCCAGAGCAATGTCGTACATATATATCAGAAAACTTACATTGCTTATAGTTCTAACAATATTTTTTATTTTTTATGGTTTTTGGGTTTTTTTTTGTTGTTGTTTTGTTTTGTTTTGTTTTGTTTTGTTGACAGGTAGAGTTATAGACAGTGAGAGACAGTTGTGTGCTATTTAGGGCAGTGTGTGCCCTGCTGTTTGAAAAGCTCAGCTCTCATCATCTCAGAGTTCCTTAGTGTGATGTCAAGCCATCAGAGGACCAATGAGTCACACCTTCTGTTTTCTCAATATTAGAATATGTTGCCATCCTGTGATTCTTGCTGGCTAAGGAGAGACTGTTTCTCTTAAGCCTATGAGTATTTCAGATGCTAGCCAAGCAATCCAAAGCACACATCCCCAGTCACTTTCATAATCTAACATACTATGCCAGTATCTCTTATGCCCTAAACCAGCCCAGGGCAAGGCACTAAACAAACCGGGAAATCCACTGTGTTCTTGAACCCATCAGAATTATTCAAACTTGTGGGTTCTAAACTTTTTCTGACCTGTCTTGCTTTTCAGGTGGAAATTCCAATACATGCAGTGGCCTATGCTTACCTCTTGCTCATACTTTTGCCTCCTAACCACTTCTGTTGTTACCTATGCAGGCCATAGTGTGCTGTGCTGTGTTCTATCCTTTTCCAACTTTTTGTTACGTGGTTCAAACCTCTGTGTAGTCAGCCACCTTTATGAAATCACATATAGGCTAGAATCAGCCATTGCTTTGCTTCACAGATTTTTATTGCCTATGTACACGTCCCACAACAAGGTATTGCCTTCTTTTGATAAGTTGTGAACTGCCTATGAAAGCTGCCATTTTGACTTGACGCCTGCAATTTGATTCTTACCCTTTCCCTCTGTACATGTTGCATGTTATTAGGTAGTAATAATGTCTAAACTGGTTGTGAAATGATGGCTCACTCAGGTTCCAATTGCCATTTCCCTGATGATATGATAGGTTTTCACTTATTTTGGCTTCTTGTCTTCCTTTTTTTTTTTTTTTTATAAAACTCCTATTCACATCGTTTCCTAATTTTTCTAATACTAGGTGTTTTAAAAATATTTTAAGGCTCTTGCAAGGTATTGTGGTATGCGTCATCTTTGAAAAGATTATTTATTTGAAAAGCAGAATGAGAGGTTTTATATCTGCTGCTGGTTCACTCCCCAAATGGCCACAACAGCCAAGGCTGGGCCAGGCCAAAATCATGAGCCTCAAACTCCATCCGGGTCTCCCCTATGAGCAGTAGGGGCTCAAATACTTGAGCCATGATCCACTGCTTTGCCAGGCGCATTTGCAGGGAGCTGGATCCTAAGAGGAGCAGTTGAGACTCGAACTTGTGCCCCAATATGGGATGCTGGCATCACAAGCTGCAGCTTAACCCACTGTGCCACAATACCAGTCACTGCGTCATTTTTTAATTAAAAGATTGGAAGGGTGTATATCTTATGTGTTTTCATTTTTATAGTGCTACCTTAAGGACTTAAAAGGCTTTAATTTTGGCATACTCACATTTAGGTAGCCATTCTATCTTGTTTCAGGAATTTACTTTAAGGTCTGCAATATGTTGTTACCTTGCCTGCTTTTTGTAGTTTCGTTTTCAAATGTATGATTCTAGATTTCAAAATTTACTATAGAATTTTCATAGGCTAATGAAACAAAATTGAGAGTCCAGAAATTAGTCCTCACCAAAATGCCCAACTGATTTCCTATAATGCTGCTAGGAAAATATAATGAGAAAGAAAAGAATATTTTCAATAAATGGTGCTGGGCAGTGAGATATCCAAATGCAAAAGAATGATGTTGGGTACTTAACTTATACCACAGACAATATTGATCAGAGATCTAAGTGTTGGGCCTAAAACTATAAAATTTCTAGAAGGAAACAGGAAAAGTCATAAGAAGGGATTTGTCCATGTAGGTGAGATACCAAAAGCATCTTGTAACCAAAGAAGAAATACATAGATTATGGGGCCGGCGCCGTAGCACACTAGGTTAATCTTCTGCCTGTGGCACCAGCATCCCATATGGACGCTGGTTCTAGTCCCAGTTGCTCCTCCTCCAATCCAGCTCTCTGCTGTGGCCCGGGAAGGCAGTGGAGGATGGCCCAAGTGCTTGGGCCCCTGCACCCGCATGGGAAACTGGCAGGAAGCTCGTGGCTCCTGGCTTCAGATCAGCGCAGCTCCGGCTGTTGCTGCCATTTGGGGAGTGAACCAACGGAAGGAAGACTTTTCTCTCTGTCTCTCTCATTCTCTATAACTCTGCCTGTCAAATAAATAAATAAAAATCTTTTTTAAAAAAGAAATACATAGATTAGACTTCATAAAAATTATAAACTTTTGTAATTCAAAGAATCTAGCATGGATTTAAAAATCTTTTGCACCAAAATAAATATTAATCTTTTATTCTACTCTTGCATGAACTTTTGAAGTACCCTCAATATGAAGGCAACTTAGAACACAACAATCATAAATTATCCCTGCCAGCGCCATGGCTCACTTGGCTAATCTTCCGCCTGCAGCGTTGGCACCCCAGGTACTAGTCCCGGTTGCTCCTCTTCCAGTCCAGCTCTCTGCTGTGGTCCAGGAAGGCAGTGGAGGATGGCCCAAATGCTTGGGCCCTGCACCCGCATGGGAGACCAGGAAGAAGCACCTGGCTCCTGATCGGCGCAGCCCGCCAGCCGTAGTGGCCATTTGGGAAGTGAACCAACGGAAGGAAGACTTTCTCTCTCTCTCTCTCTCTTTCTCTCTCTCTCTCTCTGTCTCTGTCTAACTCTGCCTGTCAATAAATAAAAAAGTAAAAATTTTAAAAAATAAAAAATTATCCCATTTTTAAAGGGAAAATGGAATTACAAAAGGAACTTCTCCAAAGAATAAACATAGATAGCCATAATGACATAAAAAGGAATTCAGTCTCACAAATCACTAAGGAAAATTAAAGTGAAAATCATAATGTCACTTTATACCTCTAAGATTACTAAAATGAAAAAGATGAAACTAAGTGTTAAGGATATAGAGAAATTTGGCTGGCGCCACGGCTCACTAGGCTAATCCTCCACCTTGCAGCGCCGGCACACCAGGTTCTAATCCCGGTCGGGGCGCCGGATTCTGTCCCGGTTGCCCCTCTTCCAGGCCAGCTCTCTGCTGTGGCCAGGGAGTGCAGTGGAGGATGGCCCAAGTGCTTGGGCCCTGCACCCCATGGGAGACCAGGAAAAGCACCTGGCTCCTGCCATCGGATCAGCACAGTGCGCCTGCTGCAGCACGCTGGCCGCGGGGGCCATTGGAGGGTGAACCAACAGCAAAGGAAGACCTTTCTCTCTGTCTCTCTCTCACTGTCTACTCTGCCTGTCAAAAAAAAAAAAAAAAAAAAGAAAGAAAGAAAGAAAGAAAGAAAGAAAGAAAGAAAGAAAGAAAGAAAGAAAGAAAGAAAGAAAGAAAGAACGAACGAACAACAGAGGATATGGAGAAATTGGATCCTTCATGCATTTCTGGTGTGAATGTTACACTGTGCTACTCCAGAAAACTGTCTGGCATTTCTTCAAAATGTTAACCATATAGTTATTAAATGAGAAATTCCATTCCTTGGTGTATACCCAAGAGGTCTATATATACAAAACGATAAATGTAAATTTTTCTAGTACCATTACTCATAACACCCCCAAAGTGGAATTAAACCAAATGTACATTAACCGATGAACAAATAAGTAAAATGTAGTATACCAGAAAATGGAATGTCATCCAGCAAGAAAATAGAGTGGTAAGAATGTGCTACATCACAAATGAACATTAAAAAACATTGTGTGGAAATAGCTATTCATGGGGCTGGTGCTGTGGCATAGTGGGTAAAGCCACTGCCTGCAGTGCCAGCATCCCATGTGGGCACTGGTTCAAGTCCCGGCTGCTCCACTTCCTATCCAGCTCTCTGCTATGGCCTGGGAAAGCAGCACAGGATGGCCCAAGTCTTTCAGTCCCTGAACCCTTATGAGAGACCCTAAAGAAGCTCCTGGCTCCTGGCTTCAGAAAAGCGCAGTTCTGGCCATTGCGGCCATCTGGGGAGTGAACCAGAGGATGGAAGACCTCTCTTTCTCTCTCTCTCTGCTTCTGCCTCTCTCTAAATCTGCCTTTCAAATAAATAAATAAATCTTAAAATAAATAAAAAGAGACCAAGTTCTCTTTAAAAAAAGTTATTCCAAAAGTCAAGGAGAAAATGATAGTTCCACTCTAATGATGACCATACAAAATTTAATGACTATGATCTACATAGTGAAGTAATGGGAAACAAACATTACTTTCCATATTTTTACTCTTAAATATGAGAATGATATCAAATTCTTGGACTCAAAGGTATATGATGTTGATATTGGCAAAGAAGTATCTAGACTGACAGATCTATGGGAATTAAGTTTTTAAAGGTAGAATATCAAACCATTAGGTCAGGAAAGTTATTCAGAAAGTGGTATTACAATAATTAGCCATCTTTCTGGAGGAAAAATATTAGATATACTAGTCAATTCCAAGTGCCAAAATACATTTCATTAAAATACACAAATTGTTTTAAAGTCATAAATTTCAAAAGAAAATCTGGAAATCTGTATCTAATATAGTGTGGGGCCTGCGTTGTAGTGTAGTAGGTAAAGCTGCTTGCAATGCTGGCTGGCATTCCATATAGGTGCCAGCTGGAGTCCTAGCTGCTCCAATTCTGATCCAGCTCGCTGCTAATGTGCCTGGGAAAGCAGTGGAAGATGGCCCAAGTTCTTGAGCCCCTTCATCCACTTGGGAGAGCTGCAAGAAGCTCCTGACTCCTGGCTTCAGCCTGGCCTTACCCCAGCCATTGCATCCATTTGGGGAGTGAACCAGCAGATGGAAAGTCTCTATTTCTCCCTTTCTCCCTCTAACTCTGCCTTGCAAATAAATAAAAATAAATCTAACAATATATAAAAATATATAATATTTTGTATAAAAATATATATAGTTTGAGAGTTTAAGCAAAGCACATTCAGAAATTTAAAAAAAAAAAAAAAACATTCTCCTGGGGGCTGGTGCTGTGGCACAGTAGGCTAGGCCTCTGCCTGTGGCACCAGCATCCTATATGAGCACCAGTTCAAGTCCCAGCTGCTCCTCTTCCGATTCAGCTCTCTGCTGTGGCCTGGGAAAGCAGCAGAAGATAGCCTGAGTGCTTCAGCCCCTGCGTCTGCCTGGGAGACCTGGAAGAAGCTCCTGGCTTTGGATCGGCTCAGCTCTGGCTGTTGTGGCCATTTGGAGAGTGAACCAGAAGATGGACAACCTTTCTCTCTGTCTCTGTAACTCTACCTCATAAATGAATGAATGAATGAATGAATGAATAAATAAATAAATATTAAAAACAGGGGTCAGTGCTTGGATTGGCTCAGCTCTGGCTGTTGTGGCTATTTGGAGAGTGAACCAGCAGATGAATGACCTTTCTCTCTGTCTCTGCATCTCTCTGTAACTCAAATTAATTAATTAATTAATTAATTTTAAAAAAAAACGGGTCAGTGCTGTGGCGTAGTGGGTAAAGCCACCGCCTGCAGTGCTGGTGTCCCATATGGGCACTGGTTTGAGACATGGCTGCTCCATTTCCAATCCAGTGCTCTGCTATGGACTGGGAAAGCAGTAGAAGATGGCCCAAGTGCTTGGACCCCTGCATCCACATGGGAGACCCGGGAGAAGCTCCTGGCTCCTGGCTTCAGATTGGCGCAGCTCCGGCCGTTGTGGCCAATTAGAGAGTGAACCAGTGGATGGAAGACCTCTCTTTCTGCCTCTCCTTCTCTCTCTGTGTAACTTTGACTTTCGAATAAATAATTAAATTTTTTAAAAATATTAAAAACAAAAAACATTCTCCTTTGGCCATGTAGAAATCACATATTTTAGACATCAAAATCTGAAATATTAACATAGCAAAATTGTAATTTCTAGAAGCATAAAGACATTTGATAATGTACATGAAGATTTCTTCATAAAATGTGTTCGAAAATCAGGGTTTT